CACGAGACCAGCCTACCCAGTCCACTTGACACCAGCACGAATATATATCGGCAAGAGCACTAAAACAGTACAGGAAGTTCTGTATTACTTATCTTGCCTTCACTGTCCTTCTGCCTCTGAGGATACTAAGCTCGATGTACAAGTCTTGTTGACAGGATCTACGTCCAGTCAGCATGGAAACAAATTATGCGATAAAGTTTTCATATAAGAATGTTGTAATTGTTAAAGAGCTTCTTTTAATATGTAAGTAATAGCTATTTTCTACAATTTATCATACTCATATTTTTATAAGTAAATTGTATTCAGCTGAAATATATTATAGAATAATGCAACCTTCACTATTACAAGGCTTGTAAAGATTTTTTTTTGTTACTGTCCTTTAATATTCGGTTTCTCAGCGGATTGATGGAGAGAGTTGTATAAATATGTCGAAACAAATTTGAAAGAAGCATAAATGCTCCTCGAAAGTATTTGTCACCCTGTGATAATATTAGGACCAAGTGGGTAAATACACGAACTTTAATTCTTGAAATTGTTTAATCCGCCAAAACTATTTGCTGATGCTTTTTAAATATTATGAATACCAGTACATAAATTTTAGGTTTCATATGTCGACTACTTTAGCCGTAATAAGGAGTCGAAGGGTATGTGGGCTTGGGAGATGGGTACTGAGGATGAGGTGATGGGTACTGGGGCTGAGGTGATGGGTACTGGGGTTCATATGATGGGTACTGGGGTTGGGTTGTTGGGTGTTGTGCCTGGCCCTCGTAGGTCACCTGGGCCACGTAGCCGGAGTCACCGTCGACAGAGTAGGCCACCTTCTCCAGACGACCGTCGGGAAGCAGCACATAGTAAGATCCCTGGGTGTGGGGGCCGTCACGGGACTCCTGATGACCGAAGTCGTTTCCTGAAGCGTCGTCTTTGACGGTATAGTTGAAGTCGTACCGAGCCGGAGCCTGCAATAATAACAATAACATCTGTATACATCATGTATCTCACCTGAGCGGTCTCAGCCAGGCTCATGTGTCACATTAGACAAAGTTTGCTTCCTATTGAGGTGTTTGACGAGGGCTTCAGAGGTACATAAGCAGTTTTCCCGACTGTGGGTTATACTCACCTCAGAAGTTGGGACGCCGTATGTGGGTGAGGGACGGTAGGTGGGGTAAGTTGGAGGTGTGGTGTAGGATGGGTAAGATGATGGTGTGGTGTAGGATGGATAAGATTTAGGTGTGGTGTAGGATGGATAAGATGGAGGTGTGGTGTAGGGTGGGTGAGTTGGAGGAGTGTATGGAGGTCTGTAGCCTGGAGGAGGCTCGGGGCGGGCCAAGGACCCCATCACAAGAGCGGCGACGAACACAACCTGTCAAGAGGTTGTGATGTTATTCGGTGCAAAATATGAGTATTTCTCTCGCCAATTTCATGTCAGTTCAGTAAGATAAAATCTCGTGAGGAGAGATTCTTCTTCCAAGTGTTTAAGTGTCTGTTTTTACTCTCACTTGTCTGTGAACTTCAACAAAACAATGTGTTCTCTACAGAATGCTACAGAGACTGATGAAAACATCACCGTTTTTAGTCATGTTGCTGAAGTGTTTACCTTAGCTGCTTAATGTAACGTTATATATAGGGAAGACGTACACTGTCTTCAAGAAAGATGAGCACTGTACCTGGAGAAACATTCCTGTGGGGGAAGGTGAGTCTGACTGATGCTCTGTGAGGGATGCCACCTGTTTATATACTAGAGACTGACACCCGCGGGCCGTGACGTAACGACCTCCCAAGGGAAGACGAGTCTGAGCCAAGGTTGATTGAGCTGTGTTATGTAAAACTGCCTTCAGGTAAAATTATCAAACATATATTTGAAAAAATTCTTCAGGATTCAATTGAATCCTATGTTGGAATGCTTTTGACCATGTCTTGGTGTTGTGAATCTTATAAATCAAGTGATTTATAAGTTGGAAAGGTTCTGCAGTGTTGACACTAATACTAGACGCCAACGACCTTCCTTACTCCTCTAAGATTCGCATCAACCTGTTTCCAGCTGAGGTGCGGGAAAAACGACGGTTGACATAGGAGCCGACAGCATTTCGCTTCTCCGGAGACTACCTTACCTTACCTTGAGGTTACCTTGAGGTGCTTCCGGGGCTCAGCGTCCCCGCGGCCCGGTCGTTGATCAGGCCTCCTGGTTGCTGGACTGATCAACCAGGCTGTTAGACGCGGCTGCTCGCAGCCTGACGTATGAGTCACAGCCTGGTTGATCAGGTATCCTTTGGAGGTGCTTATCCAGTTCTCTCTTGAACACTGTGAGGGGTCGGCCAGTTATGCCCCTTATGTGTAGTGGAAGCGTATTGAACACTCTCGGGCCTCTTATGTTGATAGAGTTCTCTCTCAGAGTACCTGTTGCACCTCTGCTTTTCAACGGGGGTATTCTGCACATCCTGCCATGCCTCCTGGTCTCATGTGATGTTATTTCTGTGTGCAGGTTTGGGACCAGCCGCTCAATTATTTTCCACGTGTAAATTATTATGTATCTCTCCCGCCTGCGCTCAAGGGAGTACAGATTTAGGCTCTTTATTCGGTCCCAGTAATTTAGATGTTTTACTGAGTGGATTCTAGCAGTAAAGGATCTCTGCACGCTCTCCAGGTCAGCAATTTATCCAGCTTTGAAAGGGGCTGTCATTGTGCAGCAGTACTCAACTCTAGAGAGCACAAGCGTTTTGAAAAGTATCATCATTGGTATAGCATCTCTAGTGTGAAAAGTTCTTGTTATCCAACCTGTCATTTTTCTTGCAGGTGTGATGCTACTTTATTGTGTTCTTTAAAGGTAAGGTCTTCCGACATGAGTACACCCAGATCCTTTACATTGCCTTTTCGTTCTATGTAATTATTTGCCTGAGTTTTGTATGTGGTTTCTGTTTTTATATTTTCAATTTTTCCGTAGCGCATGAGCTGGAACTTATCCTCGTTAAACACCATATTATTTTCTGTAGCCCATAGAAAGACCTGATCTACATCTGATTGGAGGTTTGCCGTGTCCTCTATGTTGCCAACTCTCATGAAAATCCTAGTGTCATCTGCAAAGGATGATACAGTGCTATAGGTTGTGTTCTGGTCTATGTCCGATATGAGGATGAGAAAAAGTACTGGAGCAAGCACAGTACCCTGGAGGACTGAGCTCTTCACGGTTGAAGGGCTGGATTTTATTTTGTTGACTATTACACACTATACCACACTGCAGACGATGAGTCACAATAACGTGGCAAAAGTATTACCACTTCCATGTCTGCTCGTGTCTGAAGTTAGACACAAATACACAAAATTATTAATGATAGTAACAGAGTACATTTCATGTGGATTCCATATCATCTTGGCCTCCGTATGTTTGTTATAGCTGATGAGTTAGCAAAGAATTTGCATTCAATGGAGTTGATTATAACATTAGATTGTCTAGAAGTAATCTGAGAACAATAACACACCAAGAATTTCAACGAATCCTTGTAGATCTGATGAAAACTGAAAGCTTCACTTGTAATTCCATCTATCATACTATTGTGCAAGAAGAGCCACACATCTATGGATCATTCAATAACATATACAGACTCCTAGATGTTACTAATGATCAGCTTACACTCGTCTGTATGTATCACAGGGAATTTGTTTACCTTCTGATGTAGACCTGACCAAATGTAAACTGTGTAAATTAAATTATTCGCACATTCTCCATCATCATGTAATGGAGAGCAAAGAGATACATGAATTTCTAGACAATTCTATAACAAATGTTAAAGAAATGTGTAAATATATAATTCAAAATTATCTACTACCAGAAATTTGAACCAAATCACCCTTTTTTGCAAACTGAAAGTTGTAAATGTCGGTGATTGCAACCTTTCCACTGCTGCCTACTGAATGGGGACGGAGTGCAAGATAAACATGTCATTCATGACTAGTTTACCACATAATTAAGTTGGTTAGCTTAAAAGTTGTATGTACTGGTTGGTTTCGAAGCCACTTTTGTTGTAACTTTAAACTTTTGAAGTTACTGTTAAATTTTGTAACAATTTTATCGACACTGTAACTTGCTTCACTAAATTAATATATTTTGTTTCAGTCACTAAGCCCATGATATAACTCTTTCCATTACAGCCCACAGGATGGGTATGGGGTGCATAATAAATGAACTAAACTAAAAAAAATTCCAACTTCGCTATATATCTCGATATACATATATTCGCATTTATATCTTAACACTTATAATTATTTATTGCTTCTTAAATACATGATAATATATGTATACATACAATTGAATCTATATTAGTTCCTCACAAACTTGTATGATAACTCACAAACCCAATTAATTTAAACATTGCTAACTCTGGCCGTAACAGCCCTCAATAGTACACGTGTATAAATTAGAAAATAGTCACCAAGTGCAAACCCCTGGCAACAACAACTACTTATACACGAGACCAGCCTACCCAGTCCACTTGACACCGCCACGAATATATATCGGCAAGAGAACTAAAACAGTACAGGAAGTTCTGTGTTACTTATCTTGCCTTCACTGTCCTTCTGCCTCTGAGGATACTAAGCTCGGTGTACATGTCTTGTTGACAGGATCTACGTCCAATCAGCATGGAAAGATATTATGCGATAAAGTTTTCATATAAGAATTTTGTAATTGTTAAAGAGCTTCTTTTAATATGTAAGTAATATCTATTTTCTACAATTTATCATACCCATATTTTTTTAAGTAAATTGTATTCAGCTGAAATATATTATAGAATAATGCAACCTTCACTATTACAAGTCTTGTAAACATTTTTTTTGTTACTGTCCTTTAATATTCGGTTTCTCAACGGATTGATGCAGATGTATAAATATGTCGAAACAAATTTGGAAAAAGCATGAATGCTCCTCAAAAGTATTTGTCAGCCTGTGATAATAATAGGACCAAGTGGGTAAATACACGAACTTAAATTCTTGAAATTGTTTAATCCGCCAAAACTATTTGCTGATGCTTTTTAAGTATTATGAATACCAGTACATAAATTTTAGGTTTCATATGTCGACTACTTTAGCCGTAATAAGGAGTTGAAGGGTATGTGGGCTGGGGAGATGGGTACTGAGGGTGAGGTGATGGGTACTGGGGCTGAGGTGATGGGTACTGGGGTTCATATGATGGGTACTGGGGTTGGGTTGTTGGGTGTTGTGCCTGGCCCTCGTAGGTCACCTGGGCCACGTAGCCGGAGTCACCGTCGACAGTGTAGGCCACCTTCTCCAGACGACCGTCGGGAAGCAGCACATAGTAAGATCCCTGGGTGTGGGGGCCGTCACGGGACTCCTGATGACCGAAGTCGTTTCCTGAAACGTCGTCTTTGACGGTATAGTTGAAGTCGTACCGAGCCGGAGCCTGCAATAATAACAATAACATCTGTATACATCATGTATCTCACCTGAGCGGTCTCAGCCAGGCTCATGTGTCACATTAGACAAAGTTTCCTTCCTATTGAGGTGTTTGACGAGGGCTTCAGAGATTCATAAGCAGTTTTCCCGACTGTGGGTTTTACTCACCTCAGAAGTTGGGACGCCGTATGTGGGTGAGGGACGATAGGTGGGGTAAGTTGGAGGTGTGGTGTAGGATGGGTAAGATGATGGTGTGGTGTAGGATGGATAAGATGAAGGCGTGGTGTAGGATGGATAGGATGGAGGTGTGGTGTAGGGTGGGTGAGTTGGAGGAGTGTATGGAGGTCGGTAGCCTGGAGGAGGCTCGGCGCGGGCCAAGGACCCCATCACAAGAGCGGCGACGAACACAACCTGTCAAGAGGTTGTGATGTTACTCGGTGCAAAATATGAGTATTTCTCTCGCCAATTTCATGTTAGTTCAGTAAGATAACATCTCGTGAGGAGAGATTCTTCTTCCAAGTGTTTAAGTGTCTGTTTTTACTCTCACTTGTCTGTGAACTTCAACAAAACAATGTGTTCTTTACGGAATGCTACAGAGACTGATGAAAACATCACCGTTTTTAGTCATGTTGCTGAAGTGTTTACCTTAGCTGCTTAATGTAACGTTATATATAGGGAAGACGTACACTGTCTTCAAGAAAGATGAGCACTGTACCTGGAGAAACATTCCTGTGGGGGAAGGTGAGTCTGACTGATGCTCTGTGAGGGATGCCACCTGTTTATATACTAAAGACTGACACCCCGCGGGCCGTGACGTAACGACCTCCCAAGGGAAGACGAGTCTGAGCCAAGGTTGATTGAGCTGTGTTATGTAAAACTGCCTTCAGGTAAAATTATCAAACATATATTTGAAAAAATTCTTCAGGATTCAATTGAATCCTATGTTGGAATGCTTTTGACCATGTCTTGGTGTTGTGAATCTTATAAATCAAGTGATTTATAAGTTGGAAAGGTTCTGCAGTGTTGACACTAATACTAGACGCCAACGACCTTCCTTACTCCTCTAAGATTCGCATCAACCTGTTTCCAGCTGAGGTGCGGGAAAAACCACGGTTGACATAGGAGTCGACAGCATTTCGCTTCTCCGGAGACTACCTTACCTTGCCTTGAGGTTACCTTGAGGTGCTTCCGGGGCTCAACGTCCCCGCGGCCCGGTCGTTGATCAGGCCTCCTGGTTGCTGGACTGATCAACCAGGCTGTTAGACGCGGCTGCTCGCAGCCTGACGTATGAGTCACAGCCTGGTTCATCAGGTATCCTTTGGAAGTGCTTATCCAGTTCTCTCTTGAACACTGTGAGGGGTCGGCCAGTTATGCCCCTTATGTGTAGTGGAAGCGTATTGAACACTCTCGGCCTCTGATGTTGATAGAGTTCTCTCTCAGAGTACCTGTTGCACCTCTGCTTTTCAACGGGGGTATTCTGCACATCCTGCCATGCCTCCTGGTCTCATGTGATGTTATTTCTGTGTGCAGGTTTGGGACCAGCCGCTCAATTATTTTCCACGTGTAAATTATTATGTATCTCTCCCGCCTGCGCTCAAGGGAGTACAGATTTAGGCTCTTTAGTCGGTCCCAGTAATTTAGATGTTTTACTGAGTGGATTCTAGCAGTAAAGGATCTCTGCACGCTCTCCAGGTCAGCAATTTATCCAGCTTTGAAAGGGGCTGTCATTGTGCAGCAGTACTCCACTCTAGAGAGCACAAGCGTTTTGAAAAGTATTATCATTGGTATAGCATCTCTAGTGTGAAAAGTTCTTGTTATCCAACCTGTCATTTTTCTTGCAGTTGTGACGGCTACTTTATTGTGTTCTTTAAAGGTAAGGTCTTCCGACATGAGTACACCCAGATCCTTTACATTGCCTTTTCGTTCTATATAATGATTTGCCTGAGTTTTGTATGTGGTTTCTGTTTTTATATTTTCAATTTTTCCGTAGCGCATGAGCTGGAACTTATCCTCGTTAAACACCATATTATTTTCTGTAGCCCATAGAAAGACCTGATCTACATCTGATTGGAGGTTTGCCGTGTCCTCTATGTTGCCAACTCTCATGAAAATCCTAGTGTCATCTGCAAAGGACGATACAGTGCTATAGGTTGTGTTCTGGTCTATGTCCGATATGAGGATGAGAAAAAGTACTGGAGCAAGCACAGTACCCTGGAGGACTGAGCTCTTCACGGTTGAAGGGCTGGATTTTATTTTGTTGACTATTACACACTATACCACACTGCAGACGATGAGTCACAATAACGTGGCAAAAGTATTACCACTTCCATGTCTGCTCGTGTCTGAAGTTAGACACAAATACACAAAATTATTAATGATAGTAACAGAGTACATTTCATGTGGATTCCATATCATCTTGGCCTCCGTATGTTTGTTATAGCTGATGAGTTAGCAAAGAATTTGCATTCAATGGAGTTGATTATAACATTAGATTGTCTAGAAGTAATCTGAGAACAATAACACACCAAGAATTTCAACGAATTCTTGTAGATCTGATGAAAACTGAAAGCTTCACTTGTAATTCCATCTATCATACTATTGTGCAAGAAGAGCCACACATCTATGGATCATTCAATAACATATACAGACTCCTAGATGTTACTAATGATCAGCTTACACTCGTCTGTATGTATCACAGGGAATTTGTTTACCTTCTGATGTAGACCTGACCAAATGTAAACTGTGTAAATTAAATTATTCGCACATTCTCCATCATCATGTAATGGAGAGCAAAGAGAGACATGAATTTCTAGACAACTCTTTAACAAATTTCTTTAACAAATGTTAAAGAAATGTGTAAATATATAATTCAAAATTATCTACTACCAGAAATTTGAACCAAATCACCCTTTTATGAAAACTGAAAGTTGTAAATGTCGGTGATTGCAACCTTTCTACTGCTGCCTACTGAATGGGGGACGGAGTGCAAGATAAACATGTCATTCATGACTAGTTTACCACATAATTAAGTTACTTAGCTAAAAAGTTGTATGTACTTGTGGTTGGTTTCGAACCCACTTTTGTTGTAACATTAAGCTTTTGAAGTTACTGTTAAATTTTGTAACAATTTTATCGACACTGTAACTTGCTTCACTAAATTAATATATTTTGTTTCAGTCCCTAAGCCCATGATATAACTCTTTCCATTACAGCCCACAGGTTGGGTATGGGGTGCATAATAAATGAACTAAACTAAGAAAAATACCAACTTCGCTATATATCTCGATATACATATATGCGCATTTATATCTTAACACAAATAATTATTTATTGTTTCTTATAAGTATGATAATATATGTATACGTATAATTGAATCTATATTAGTTTCTCACAAATTTGTATGATAACTCTCTCACAAACCCAATTAATTAAAAAAATGCTAACTCTGGCCGTAACAGCCCTCAATAGTACACGTGTATAAATTCGAAAATAGCCACATAGGGCTAGCCCCTAGCAACAACTACTTATACACGAGACCAGCCTACCCAGTCCACTTGACACCAGCACGAATATATATCGGCAAGAGAACTAAAACAGTACAGGAAGTTCTGTATTACTTATCTTGCCTTCACTGTCCTTCTGCCTCTGAGGATACTAAGCTTGATGTACATGTCTTGTTGACAGGATCTACGTCCAATCAGCATGGAAAGATATTATGCAATAAATTTTTCATAGAAGAATTTTGTAATTGTTAAAGAGCTTCTTTTAATATGTAAGTAATATCTATTTTCTACAATTTATCATACCCATATTTTTTTAAGTAAATTGTATTCAGCTGAAATATATTATAGAATAATGCAACCTTCACTATTACAAGCCTTGTAAAGATTTTTTTGTTACTGTCCTTTAATATTCGGTTTCTCAGCGGATTGATGGAGAGAGATGTATAAATATGTCGAAAAAAATTTGAAAGAAGCATAAATGCTCCTCAAAAGTATTTGTCACCCTGTGATAATATTAGGACCAAGTGGGTACATACACGAACTTTAATTCTTGAAATTGTTTAATCTGCCAAACTATTTGCTGATGCTTTTTAAATATTATGAATACCAGTACATAAATTTTAGGTTTCATATGTCGGCTACTTTAGCCGTAATAAGGAGTCGAAGGGTATGTGGGCTTGGGAGATGGGTACTGAGGATGAGGTGATGGGTACTGGGGCTGAGGTGATGGGTATTGGGGTTCATATGATGGGTACTGGGGTTGGGTTGTTGGGTGTTGTGCCTGGCCCTCGTAGGTCACCTGGGCCACGTAGCCGGAGTCACCGTCGACAGTGTAGGTCACCTTCTCCAGACGACCGTCGGGAAGCAGCACATAGTAAGATCCCTGGGTGTGGGGGCCGTCACGGGACTCCTGATGACCGAAGTCGTTTCCTGAAGCGTCGTCTTTGACGGTATAGTTGAAGTCGTACCGAGCCGGAGCCTGCAATAATAACAATAACATCTGTATACATCATGTATCTCACCTGAGCGGTCTCAGCCAGGCTCATGTGTCACATTAGACAAAGTTTGCTTCCTATTGAGGTGTTTGACGAGGGCTTCAGAGGTACATAAGCAGTTTTCCCGACTGTGGGTTATACTCACCTCAGAAGTTGGGACGCCATATGTGGGTGAGGGACGATAGGTGGGGTAAGTTGGAGGTGTGGTGTAGGATGGATAAGATGAAGGCGTGGTGTAGGATGGATAAGATGGAGGTGTGGTGTAGGGTGGGTGAGTTGGGGGTGTGTATGGAGGTCGGTAGCCTGGAGGAGGCTCGGCGCGGGCCAAGGACCCCATCACAAGAGCGGCGACGAACACAACCTGTCAAGAGGTTGTGATGTTACTCGGTGCAAAATATGAGTATTTCTCTCACAAATTTCATGTCAGTTCTGTAAGATAACATCTCTTAAGGAGAGATTCTTCTTCCAAGTATTTAAGTGTCTGTTTTAACTTTCACTTGTCTGTGAACTTCAAGAAAACAATGTGTTCTTTACGGAATGTTGCAGAGACTAATGAAAACATCACCGTTTTTAGTCATGTTGCTTAAGCGTTTACCTTAGCTGGTTAAGATAACGTTATATATATATGGAAGACGTACACTGTCTTCAAGAAAGATGAGCACTGTACCTGGAGAAACATTCCTGTGGGGGAAGGTGAGTCTGACTGATGCTCTGTGAGGGATGCCACCTGTTTATATACTAGAGACTGACACCCGCGGGCCGTGACGTAACGACCTCCCAAGGGAAGACGAGTCTGAGCCAAGGTTGATTGAGCTGTGTTATGTAAAACTGCCTTCAAGAAAATCATATATAAATGATTATATTAGTATATTTTGGTAGCAGTCTTTCCTGTAGACATATATTATTAAATATGACCGAAAAAGTAAGATTAATAATTTGAATTAATAATCTTTGAATTACCATCAACAGTGAAAAGAAACGTAAGAAAGATAGAGAAAATTCGTGATAGAATTATTAATCTTACTTTTTCGGTCATATTTAATAATAAATGATTATATATATATATATATATATATATATATATATATATATATATATATATATATATATATATATATATATATATATATATATATATATATATATATTTGGGGTACCACCACTGGTGTAATTGAAGAGACCCACATCGTCAAAGAAGAAAATAAAGAGTGTTCAGAGAAGACTTTGTGGATTCTCACCGAACACTTTAATCTTTTCCTCTCCTACCACCCTTATTATTTTTTTTATTAATTTTGTTTTATTTAATTTTATTGCATTGCTACAGTTTACAGAGAACACACACTTATATAACAATCAGTGTTCGAAGAACTCGTCCAGCTCTTCGGAGGTCGGGTATGTACCCAAGATACAGCACGCATTTCCCCTCTTAACTGCGACACTGAGGCGGTGGAACATGAAATTGGCCGCTCTTGAGTCTCTAGTTTTCCCAATGAGGTCCTCACCCACCTCCTTTAGGAACTTAAGTGCACATTACCCCAGGCGCCCAGAGTCTCAGAGCCTATCGGCACGACCCTGTAACAACGTTCTAGGTCCCTGTACTTGTTAGTTTTCTGGGTCTCTCTGAAGGTGGCCGCCCCGCCTCCCTTAGCTGTGCTGTAAGGTAGATAGGTATCAGCCAGTGTAGACGCACATCTGTAATCCCATACGACCTGTTTACCTTCCACCAATAGCTGCAGGACGACTCCATCTGGGAGTTTTTGGCTGTTGTCAGGTCTGCACAACTGAGGTTCCCTTTGTGCTGGACACCCAGCTGTAGCCAAACTTCTCTTGATGATGTCATTGACTGCTTCATGTCTGGCAATCTTTCCCTGTGTCTTACGACAGATGAGACCATGGCTGCCGTATTGGTCTGCCCGTGCATGGCCGCAAACACACCGGTGTTCGGTGGAGATAGGGGCGGCAATATATATATATATATATATATATATATATATATATATATATATATATATATATATATATATATATATATATATATATACACATGTCCCCAAGCCAATTTTCAACCAAAAATTCCTCTTCTCTGAAGGATTCGACCCCAGACAGCCAGGTGTTCCAGGCACCTTAGCGTATCCAGCACTATCCCACTATCCCACTAGGTCATAGTGACTGTACAAAAGGTTGGAAGTCGTGAGACTTTTAACCCAACGGTACCCGATGGTTAATTTTATGGTACAGCTATTTCATCAAATCACCTCGGTGTTGGGGGGCCACGTGCGTATCACAAAAGTAAGGTGCATGGAACCATGGCTGTCTAGGTTCGAAACCTTCAGTGGTGAGGAGTTTTTGGCATATATATATATATATATATATATATATATATATATATATATATATATATATATATATATATATATATATATATATATATCGAGAATCTTCATTCTACTTTGCTCTGATGACGGCGTATTAGCCAAAAACGCGCTAAGCCTTCTCTATTTTTTACATGTGGTTTTTCCGCATATATATATATATATATATATATATATATATATATATATATATATATATATATATATATATATATATATATATATATATTCTTGTAAGATGTGTTTGTTTACAGTTACTGAAGGTGTCTTGGCAATATTTATGTGAGGTCTGGGGTCGTCGGGGGGTTTCACAACTTGTTGACGGTCAGTAATTTGTTTTGTCATTATTTATATCTCTTGAGTCGGTCATATGGGGTGATGTGAAGGCCGGGTGCATGTACGCCAATGTTGTTGTTGTTTTAGATTCACCTTCTCTGAACTAAAAGTTGCATGAAACACGGGCTATGGAGAGTCCGTAGCGGACTTACCTGGCTCAGGATCTGGGCTGTAACTTCTTGGCATGTATGCTACTCTGTTATCATTATTTGATAATATATATATATATATATATATATATATATATATATATATATATATATATATATATATATATATATATATATATATATATATAGATAAGGGGGTGGTAGGAGAAAAGCACACAGAAACTATATTGGAGGGGACCTACATTCCCTCCAATGCGTTATGTGTGGTTTCCTCCGAGGCTATGGGTCCCCCTTCTTCCAGCCAGAGGTGGTACTCCCTGCCCTTTTGTTAAAATATATATATATATATATATATATATATATATATATATATATATATATATATATATATATATATATATATATATATATATATATATATATATATATATATATACACTGATCATTGATATGCGGTAAAGCCCCAGATAAATTTGAAGAAAATGTTGAAGGTTTCTGCTAGAATGAGCCTTTATCAGCACCAGACTTAACAGAGCAACAAGGGTGCAAAGAGGAACAAGGAGTACAAGAGGAACAATAACAACATGATGAACAAATAGAACAATAGGAACAAGGAGTACAGTTTCACTCCCAATACCAACACACCAAGGAACAACAGCACCAAGATAAATTAGATAATAGGATCATTAAACAAGGCAGGAATCGCGTGTGAGAGCGGGAACACACGCCGCTGGCTCAGCAAGTGTCAAGTGAATCATTATGGAGAGTCAGTATAAACATGTCCCTGGGCATAGCCCCTGGGTAATGGATATTATAACAATATTTACTATATAAAATAACATATCCTATATATTATATCATATCCTATATATTAAGTAAAAGTGACTCGTGCTTAAACTATTTGTAATATGTTTACTGTAAACTCACTATTATATGAGAGTTTGTTCTTCTCTGCTGTAGTGGGAGCTTTGACCCACCCCTATCACACCCTTAGGTACACACACTCTGCTTATAAGGTAATTATAACCCACAGTGTGTTTTATCTACCTCACACCTACGGCCACCACTGGGTGTAGGTACTACTATGGGGTTGAACCCCATCTAGTGCGCTGATTAATGAATGTTAAATGCACATTCTTGTAAACTTTATGAGATGAGACCACGGAGCAGCGGTTTACAGTTATTGCTAACTTCAGCGGCTTCCCGGCAAGGTGAAGATTAACTGGGCTGGGTGATGTAACGTCAACATACATTCTTTACTTGTATGTAGGTATTTGTTGATACATTATTTTAGTACTGTGTATGAAGGTGGTGTTGAAACCCTCAGGGAGTCAGCTAAGTAATATAAGTACAAAGTACTGGATTATTGGTACAATTTTCTTCCCATTGTTTCCCATTACCTAAGTAATGGTATTGCCTTGCGTCCCCTGTATGCACCGAACACCAGTGTACCTGCAGCTATGCATCGCCTGACCAATACGCCAGCCATGGTTTCATCTGTCATAAGTCAGAAGGAACGATTGCTAGACACTAAGCAGTCAACGACTGCTTAGTGTCTAGCATTGGCTTTAACACCAGTGTTAAAGCCACCATTCCTTTCCGAGACTATTACATTTAGCAAAGGTAGTTTTCCCCCCACTCTCAGTCTCGTAAGTAAACCTTAGCACTGAACTTCGTTCGAATGCATCCTTAAGTCAGAGCAAGTGCTCAGGTACCAGCAGGAATATGAAGTCTACATATTTACAGTATACAGTTGCCTTAAGGTTCATGTCAACAAGGACTTTCTGCTCGACGGTCCCTATATACAAAATAAATAGAACACCAAGGGTGGACCCCATATCAACGCAGTCTACCTGCTTATATAAGCGTCCATCAGGGCTTAGGAAGGGTGCGCCCATCAGGAACCAGGAAGGGTGCCTCTTTGGTACCCTAGATAGAACCCTTGGTAGATACCAAGATATTTGGTACCCTTGGTAGAACATATACGGCACGCATAGAAGCAATAAAGCACCTAAATTATTGGGATCGTCTCAAAGCCCTCCAAATGTACTCACTAGAAAGAAGACGAGAGAGATATCAAATAATATACACCTGGAAGATACTGGAGGGCCAAGTACCAAATCTACACAGTAAAATAACAACGTACTGGAGTGAACGACATGGAAGAAAATGTAGAATAGAACCAATGAAGAGCAGAGGTGCCATAGGCACAATCAGAGAACACTGTATAAACATCAGAGGTCCGCGGTTGTTCAACGTCCTCCCAGCAAGCATAAGAAATATTGCCGGAACAACCGTGGACATTTTCAAGAGGAAACTAGATTTATTCCTCCAAGGAGTGCCGAACCAACCGGGCTGTGGTGGGTATGTGGGCCTGCGGGCCGCTCCAAGCAACAGCCTGGTGGACCAAACTCTCACAAGTCGAGCCTGGCCTCGGGCCGGGCTTGGGGAGTAGAAGAACTCCCAGAACCCCATCAACCAGGTACATGCTGAGAGTAGCTTTCTGAGTGTGTTTTCTGGGATGTCAAGGGGAATACAAGATAGATCCCAATAATTTCTCCATCATCATTACTCGTTGTACAACTCTGTTTGCCTAACAAGCCGAGTTTTCCCGAAATTATATATTTTTACATATTAAAAAAAATCTTATGGAATTATAAAGTTTTCAAATATATATGATTTGTATTTTTTGTATTCATTTGAATTAAAACTTAACTCAGATTAATTCAATTAACCTAATGAATTAATTAACATAACCTACCTAACATAGCTGTCACTAATTCATGTTCTTAATATGATTTAATAATATTAATTGGAATAAACCAATTTGAAAAGAAATATTTCAAAATGACGAAAATGTTTGTTAGGAAAAGAGGGCCTAACATACTAGGCCAAGTAATACGGTTCTGATATATATATATATATATATATATATATATATATATATATATATATATATATATATATATATATATATATATATATATATATATATATATATCAGAACCGCATACCTTACCAATCGTTAATCATCCTTACCACAAGCTCCTTTTCCCTTGAAAGGCTGTGACGTCATGGCTTGTGGGGTGTCATCCTCCAGTATATATAAGGTGGTCGCATCCCTCACAGAGCATCAGTCACACTCGTCTTCCACACACACAATGTCTCCTCTCAAGGTACAGTAGAAAACTCAACAGCAAAATATCCATATGTAACGCTTATTTGTTTGGACAATTTGAGGTCACAAATAACTCTGTGCTCATCACACTCAGAATTATGTCAAACACAACAATCTAATTATTATTGTAACTGGGCTGGTATATATTCACAAATTATCAGACGCTTGTAATATTCGTTATTGTGAGTTGTTTAAAAATGTATATATCTCTCGGTCTGGTTCTGTTTTGTTGATGTTTTTAATTTGCTCGCTTCCTGTATTCCTTAATTAAATCTATCAATCACGAGGCCTACCTCAACTCTCAGATTTTGTATTCATTAAAAGTCATCACCCTGTTCATCTCTAAGGTATAATGAAGATATTACAGCATCACGTTATCTTCAAGTCAATCTTTACCCTCATGTGGTGTTTCTATGCAGAGTTCTCAGCATGTTACACAATTATATATGTGCAATATACATTTATGAATGATAGTAAGTGTAAACATATATATTATTAAGAAATATATTGGGAGATTAGTAAATGAGTTATAAAATAATATTATCTCGGACAGTTGTTAGTCAAAGTGGCAAATCATGAACTAAGGAGAGTTTACTTAGATGCTTTGGTTATATGTATCTAGTTATTCAACAATGTCTTGTTAGCACGTAAACTCGTGCTAAAAGACACGTTAAAACTAGAGGGTGACAAGATTTAATATGACTTATGGATTGGGTAACTTCTAAGTCAGCTAACAGGGGTCATAAGTCATCTACCCTTGTTCCCACTTATGTGTAAAATTCGTAGCGTGAAACTTACGACGAGCTATGGGAAGAGAGAGCTCTAAGTCTGTTAAAATGAGTTACCTTCAGATGGTTTCCGGGCTTAGCGTCCCCGCGGCCCAGTCCTTGACCAGGCCTCCCTGATCTGGACTCCCTGGAGTCAGATGTTATATTCTCCTGAATGCACCAAAGTAAACATAATATTTTCAGTTGTGGCACAGCACGTATCATTCCTCAACAAGCACGTCCTCCTAAAATTTCGCAACGTCAAGAAAACGGTCAATTTAAAGTGTCCTCTCCTAACCTGTCAGAGAACCCAAAACAGAAAACGAGACAGAACGTCACTTTTTCGAGCTGCTTCCATTTTCTTTTAGGATAATTGTTGGCCTTATGTAACGCATACGAGCGAAAAGCGACGTTCCTTGTAGGACAGGTTGCCTCAACAATTTACTCCCTAACAGCCATAAGAGGCAAATAACATCTCGTGGGGCAACAGCACAGGTAACAATGTCATTAAGATAGCGTAAGTGAGGCAAAAGTGAAGCCTGTGGCTGAATAAGGGTCAAGTGAAACATTATGAAGATGAAAGTGACTTAAATACTACCATCACCACACCGCCGTGGATAATGTTTATTTTTCCAACAAAAAATAACATTAAGGACCCCCACCTCCAGCTTAAACATTGGTATGTATTAAATGTTAAATATACTTTGTGATTAAAATATTTGTATTGCTGTAACAACAAAATTACAAATTGTTCTTGACAGGTTGTTTTGGTAGCGGCTCTTGTGGTGGTTGCCTTGGCCCGCCCTCAGGTTCCTCCCCGTAACTATCCACAACCCATCTACGGCGTCCCTTCTACTGAGGTGAGTATAACCCACAGTGGGTAAGGCTGCCCACATGTCTCTGTGACAATGGTCAAAACAAACAAGTGATCAATACCAACATAACGTTATCATGTGTGACACATGAGCCTGGCTGAGACCGTTCTGGTGAGACACGTGATGTATACTGATGTTATTATTACAGGCTCCTGCTCGGTACTCCTTCAGCTGGAAAGTGAAGGACGACGCTTCCGGCAACGACTTCGGCCAAGACGAGACCCGTGATGGTCCCAACACCCAGGGCTCCTACTATGTGCTGCTTCCCGACGGTCGTCTGGAGAAGGTGACCTACACTGTCAACGGCGACTCCGGCTACGTGGCCCAGGTGACCTACGAGGGCCAGGTCCAGCACACCACACCCCAGCCCTACTATTTCTAAACTTCTCCTCCTCTACTTCCAAGTCATCACCTACAGGTTGAACTCGTATATATTAGTCTTAAAAGGTAATAGGAAGAACAATTAGAAATATTACAAAAAAAATGAGAAATAATAAAAAACTATAGAAAAATTTTAGTATTTATTTCCCTGCATAACAGTTCCAATCTGTAATAGTTGGGACCGGCTATACGAATGTGAAACACATTGAAGCACAGATGACCGCAGTTACAAGCATAACTGTGTATGCAATGCCGTTTGTATCAGGCATAGGAACTTTAAGGATCTTATCTTGAGATGATTTCGGGGCTTTAGTGTCCCCACGGCCATGTCCTCGACCAGGCCTCCAACCCCAGGAAGCAGCCCGTGACAGCTGACTAACACCCAGGTACCTATTTTACTGCTAGGTAACAAGGGCATAGGGTGAAAGAAACTCTGCCCATTGTTTCTCGCCGGCGCCTGGGATCGAACCCAGGACCACAGGATCACAAGTCCAGCATGCTGTCCGCTCGGCCGACCGGCTCCCTTTTAGCTTAGGGTGAAAAAGTTTAGGATGCTAAACTTTTGAATCAAGAAGGAAAATGGTATTAAGAGTTAATGTATAAAGTCTGCAGCCATCACATACTGCAACACAATCAACAAAAATTAAGGGAATTCAACACCAAATCGTTTTCTAAAATAAACTTTGTAAATATATTGTAATACGTATCTGTCGCCTTCAACTCACTGACATCACCACTCTCACTTCAACTCTTAATAAGCTCGAAATAATGGATATAAATTGGTTACGTTTAGATTCCGGAAAGACCTGGGAAACATTGGTTAAGAATTAGGTGGTTTATTTATGGATCATAATACTCTCTAAAATGTTCCTTAGGGAGTATCCTTCATGTTACAGCGAAGCAAACCTTGAAGAAGTCTTTCTGGGACGTCCAGATTAATGTTTCTGTGATGGTGTGTCATCTCTGCTTCCCCCTAGGAAACACAATCAATACCTTCTCACCTAGACTGGGCTACACCCAACAATTAATTTATTACCTAAATTTGTTGGCGTGCTTCCTTTAAAGTAACGATCTCAGCAATGGTTTCTTTGCTTAGCTGCTTGGTCCTTACTTTGTCTTGTCCTTACTCTCATGGTGGGTAGAGTAAATAGTTCCGTGATTTGGGTGTTCATGGTAGGTCGCTCTATTCTTATGTGAATTGCCTCAAGAATTTGTAATCTTCTTGAATCTTGGGTTTTGTCTATTATGCAAGTATTCTTGTTCAACATTTCTCTTGTTAGATCACGGAACTATTTACTCTACCCACCATGAGAGTAAGGACAAGACAAGAACATATCGATGCCAACACAGAAGACAATGTCCAACATAACAGGCCAATTACACTGGATTAATCTTTGTGTTTAGATAGGAGATGCCTCGTATGGGCCAATAAGCCTTCTGCAGCCCCTATGTTTATCCCTTATGTATCCCCCCATGTTTTCCACCGTCATTGTATTATCACCTGACCTAATGCGGGTATAAAATCAACTAGTATTGTAAGATTGTTCACTTGAGAATGAACCATGGAGGTTCGAAACGTCGTGCAAATTATACAAATAAGTGTAATACACTCTATAGTAAATCACTTCTTTTCTTCACCTTAAAAGTACGAAAATGAGTTTTGGAGAACTCCTATTCCAATTAAGCCCTGATGCTAAGAAAATAGTTAGAGGGATAGAAGCCCTAAACCAGAAAATAATAAATACAGAATATGCGGTCATATTCAATGAAACATGTTTGAAAGAAAACCTGCTGCCAGTATACACCAATATATATATATATATATATATATATATATATATATATATATATATATATATATATATATATATATATATATATATATATATATATATATATGTCGTACCTAGTAGCCAGAACGCACTTCTCAGCCTACTATGCAAGGCCCAATTTGCCTAATAAGCCAAGTTTTCATGAATTAATTGTTTTTCGACAACCTAACCTACCTAACCTAACCTAACTTTTTCGGCTACCTAACCTAACCTAATCTATAAAGATAGGTTAGGTTAGATTAGGTAGGGTTGGTTAGGTTCGGTCATATGTCTACGTTAATTTTAACTCCAATAACAAAAAATTGACCTCATACATAATGAAATGAGTAGCTTTATCATTCCATATGAAAAGAATTAGAGAAAATATATTAATTCAGGAAAACTTGGCTTATTAGGCAAATCGGGCCTTGCATAGTATATATATATATATATATATATATATATATATATATATATATATATATATATATATATATATATATATATATGTCGTACCTAGTAGCCAGAACGCACTTCTCAGCCTACTATGCAAGGCCCGATTTGCCTAATAAGCCAAGTTTTCCTGAATTAATATATTTTCTCTAATTTTTTTCTTACGAAATGATAAAGCTACCAATTTTATTATGTTTGAGGTCAATTTTTTTATTGGAGTTAAAATTAACGTAGATATATGACCGAACCTAACCAACCCTACCTAACCTAACCTAACCTATCTTTATAGGTTAGGTTAGGTAGCCGAAAAAGTTAGGTTAGGTTAGGTTAGGTAAGTTAGGTAGTCGAAAAACAATTAATTCATGAAAACTTGGCTTATTAGGCAAATCGGGCCTTGCATAGTAGGCTGAGAAGTGCGTTCTGGTTACTAGGTACGACATATATATATATATATATATATATATATATATATATATATATATATATATATATATATATATATATATGTATATATATATATGTATATATATATATATATATATATATATATATATATATATATATATATATATATATATATATATATATATATATATATATATGTCATAAACGAAGTGAACTACATGAACAAGCAAGTCAAAAGGAGACGGCTGAGTGGAGAAACAATAGAGCCTTGAGCTGAACCATTAACATGGTCTCAGTGACCACAGGCGACCTGTTCACGCGACCACACTGGTGGGCTCACTAATGATTTAAAACCCCACGAAAGCTCACTTCCAGCATATAAGAATAATGTGGAACTAAAGGTCCATTGGCTTATACGAGGCAGCTTCTATTTACATCTACTCAAACTCATATATATGTCTAACTACACTTGAAAAATCAAGTGATCTTATCGTCTATTATCGGTAGATTTGTTCCATAAATCATCAATCTATTTTCCAAACTGGTATCTATCCTTGAGTAGATAGCTTAATTCAGCCCTGCAATGTTAGTATGCTTAAATTTTCCCAAGAAATGAACAGATTTTGTAAATCTGTCTTTCCGTGATTTGATGAAATCCTTCACGTACTGATTTCACTCATATGTGTTTATGCCCAATCCTGGACAACTTATGCCACTGAGGGAGTGATGAAACCCTTAGTAATCAAGTCTTTGAGAGGGAGAGGAAGTCCTTGAAGGTGCTGGCGCATATGTCTCTGTTAATGAATCTGTCTATACATATCAATCAACCTTGGCTAAGACAAATCTTTCTTTGGAGGGCCGTGACGTCATTTCCCGCGGGGTACATATATAGAGAGAGGTCTCATTGATCACAGCATCAGTCCGACTCGTCTTCCTCTACAGACATGTCACCTAAGGTATGGTGCTCGCTCTCTCCTAGTCATTTGAAAGGGATCGCTAATAAGTTTTGACTCATTTAGTTATCTATTAGGCCAACTTATCTAAAGAATGGAAAAAGCGTCGATTTTGATATCTTGCCATCTAGTCGTTATCATTGCGTTAGTTCCATATACTGTTATATACTGTTGACTAATCAACACACTAGAAAATGAAGGGACGACGACGTTTCGGTCCGTCCTGGACCATTCTCAAGTCGATTGTGTGGGAAAATTATTATATCCAACATCACTTTTTATGATTTATTTTTTTACATTTTCTAAAATTTAAATACTTATTCATTAATTTTCATATATTTAATATAAAATGCGTTATCTCTAATAACGCATTTAATAAATAACTAATTTAATAAATTACCTCAAATTTGCTTGCTGTAGTTAGTGTTTATCTTGTCTAGAAACTTGCACTGATTGCATAGATCATCTTTCATCTCACACAGTTTTGACTGTAAGCTGCCACTCTCAGTATATTGTTTGTAAGCTGGTACTGCCAAATATATATCGTCTGAAAGCTAGCACTGTCAGTATATATTGTCTGTGAGCTAGTGCTGTCAGTATATATTGTCTGTGAGCTAGTGCTGTCAGTATATATGGTGTGTGAGCTAGTGCTGTCAGTATATATTGTCTGTGAGCTAGTGCTGTCAGTATATATGGTGTGTGAGCTAGTGCTGTCAGTATATATTGTCTGTGAGCTAGTGCTGTCAGTATATATCGTCTGAAAGCTAGCACTGTCAGTATATATTGTCTGTGAGCTAGTGCTGTCAGTATATATGGTGTGTGAGCTAGTGCTGTCAGTATATATGGTGTGTGAGCTAGTGCTGTCAGTATATATTGTCTGTGAGCTAGTGCTGTCAGTATATATCGTCTGAAAGCTAGCACTGTCAGTATATATTGTCTGTGAGCTAGTGCTGTCAGTATATATGGTGTGTGAGCTAGTGCTGTCAGTATATATGGTGTGTGAGCTAGTGCTGTCAGTATATATTGTCTGTGAGCTAGTGCTGTCAGTATATATCGTCTGAAAGCTAGCACTGTCAGTATATATTGTCTGTGAGCTAGTGCCGTCAGTATATATTGTCTGTGAGCTAGTGCTGTCAGTATATATGGTGTGTGAGCTAGTGCTGTCAGTATATATTGTCTGTGAGCTAGTGCTGTCAGTATATATTGTCTGAGAGCTAGTGCTGTCAGTGCATATTGTCTGTGAGCTAGTGCTGTCAGTATATATCGTCTGTAAGCTAGCACTGTCAGTATATATTGTCTGTGAGCTAGTGCTGTCAGTATATACTGTGTGTAAACTGGCGCTGTCAGTATATATTGTCCGTTAATTAGCAATGGCTCCTTATGTTGTCTGCCAGCATAAACTGCTTTCCACGTGTTTGCCTCTAAACTTACACTACCTGCATATGTTGGCTCTTAAAATTTACTACCTATAGGTAACACAAATGCAGATTATAAGCTTACTGGTCCTGAATTCAGTATATAAGTAACTCCTATGTTGAGTGATATACTTTGTAAATGTAATTCCCCTATTTATCTGAGAATGGATAAAAAGTTGATAAATAAAACGAACAATGATTTATTGAACTAGAAAAGTTACATAATACATTGAAAAGTGATGGGTGAGGTTTGACCGCAAGGTGAAGCCGCTTTACGAGCCAAGATCAAATGAGCAATTATGGTGAGTCAAATGAGCAATTATGGTGAGTCAATGTAAACAACACCATTAACATACAACGGTGAATGATGGCTTTTCTGTATTTCATGAGTACATCAATGTTTTTCATCTTCAGAAAATGATGTATTAACACACTCGAACCTAACCTATCGATCCTCCCATAGAAAACGTGAATGTTTGTACTCCCATATGGTTCTCTATTGCCATTTTATGTGCCATTCTCCGGGTAACTGATGTGTCGACTCAGTCGAGTCACAGTTCTGTCTAAATCTAAATGGCAATGTCACGTGTCATGGAAGATATTTGTCATTTGTAAGTGAAGTATTGGTATTATGTTTTGTGTTGGTACTGACAGGTTATGCTGGTCGCTGTTCTTGTGGTGGGCGCCTTGGCCAGTCCCGATGGGTACCCGCATCCCAGTTCATCCCCTACATACGGTCCCTCTACGCATACTACCACAACTAACCGCCCGTTAATCACAACATACTCGCCTTCGTCCACTACATACTACCAGCCATCCTCAACATATCACCCCTCAACTACAACATACCGCCATCCAACTACAACATACAACCCCACATCCACAACATATCGTCCTCCAACTACATCATACAACCCCACATCCACAACATATCGTCCTCCAACTACAACATACAACCCCACATCCACAACATATCGTCCTCCAACTACATCATACAACCCCACATCCACAACATATCGTCCTCCAACTACAACATACCGCCCCCCATCCACAACATACCACCCCTCAGCAACATACCACCCCTCAACAACATACCACCCCCCCTCTACAACATACTATCCACCATCCACAACATACCGCCCCCCATCTACAACATACAGACCACCATCCACAACATATCGCCCCTCAACCACAGCTCCGACATACCCACCCACGACGTCCAGCCCCAACTACGGCGTCCCCACTACTGAGGTGAGTATAACCCACAATGGGGAAGGCTGCCCACATGTCTCTGTGACAATTGTCAAAACAAGCAAGTGACCAATAACATCATAACATTATCATGTGTGACACATGAGCCTGGCTGAGACCGTTCTGGTGAGACACGTGATGTATACTGATGTTATTGTTATTATTACAGGCTCCTGCTCGGTACTCCTTCAGCTGGAAAGTCAAGGACGACGCTTCCGGCAACGACTTCGGCCAAGACGAGACCCGTGATGGTCCCAACACCCAGGGCTCCTACTATGTGCTGCTTCCCGACGGTCGTCTGGAGAAGGTGACCTACACTGTCAACGGCGACTCCGGCTACGTGGCCCAGGTGACCTACGAGGGCCAGGTCCAGCACACTACACCCCAGCCCAACTATGGCTAAAGCGACACCTACAAAAGGATGTTGAACCCCCATTACATATATTTGCACCCCAGGGGACCTACGAAGTCAAGGTCCACTAATACAGTACATTCCTGGCCACCTGCATCCCATCTCTTGTGCACATTATGGTCACAACATTATCTGTAGATAGACACTCATATTTACTGAGCAAATTGGCAATATTGTACAAATAATTTTGAAAACTATTATATAAGTAAATAACTACTTGGGGTATATCCTTTCTTTTGTGTTTTGTTGTGCTTTATATTTAAGTATATTTAAAGGTTACAAGATGTTCATTGGTTAATACAAGAGTAGTGTGCATTAAGTAAATAAATTTCTTAACCAAGTTATCATTTCACCACGAAACCAATCCTACACTTTGTCAAGAATTTTTATTAAATCATTAGCGTTGGACACTTCCAGGATCATGGAGAGTTGTAACTGTAGTCCCACATTTATAAACACATATAGACGATTGACATCTCTAATTAATTGTTGTCTAATTAGTTTAATATCAATTGTTAGGAAATTACTTGAAGTGATAATTGGAGAGGTCATTCGTACCCACCTTGAAAAATCCAGATTAACTCTTTTCTTTGTGGCAAGGATTTATAAGTGGACCGAGAACAAGAATAAGCACGACAAAACTGGGTTATCTTGAGGTTATCTTGAGATGATTTCGGGGCTTTTAGTGTCCCCGCGGCCCGGTCCTCGACCAGGCCTCCACCCCCAGGAAGCAGCCCGTGACAGCTGACTAACACCCAGGTACCTATTTTACTGCTAGGTAACAGGGGCATAGGGTGAAAGAAACTTTGCCCAGTGTTTCTCGCCGGCGCCTGGGATCGAACCCAGGACCACAGGATCACAAGTCCCGCGTGCTGTCCGCTCGGCCGACCGGCTCCCTCAACATACATATATACATACGATGGATACCCATGTGCATGGGAAATAGGCTTACAGGTTCCGGAAGATGAGAGGAAATGTCAACACTGTGGAGAAATGCCCGACAGACCACTGGAACATTATCTAACACAGTGCACAGTTACAAACCCATTAAGATTTCAACTTAGATTCAACAGAGCAGAAGAAGTTGTTAAACACATATGGCAAAATCTTACTGAAGCGACCATACGAGTGATAAATACTCATACTCTGCCCAAGTAAAACAGAAACAAGCAACACTTAGTGGGCCAGCCAGAGGCTTAGGGCCCGTGCAGGAATATCCCTGCAAACAAAAAAAAAATACGATGGAAGGTTATCGAATAAGATTATTTGTTCCAACTCGAGATGAAAGATACTTATATAAATGTTGAGCTCCCAGCAAAATTTGACGGATGGTGAAGTATCCCAACAATAAATCAACAAAATACTATATCAGAGGAGATGGTGGCGGAGACCCGGAGAGGAGTCACAGTGAGGACTTACCATGTGATGAAAGAGCGAAAGAGAATAACACGAGAAGCCCAAGAACGGTTAAATGAACGCCGTGTAAATACAAAAGAGAAACAAAGAGAGGCAGTAAGAAGAATGCTACATATTAATATAAGGGTTCGCAGGAGTCTAGGTCCTGTGAGGATCGATAATAAATCCTAGTGAGCATTGTCACAGTTCTCAATAGGATTTATTATACAAGGGGCAATTGAGGAAACAGCTAAGGAAGAAAAACAGGCAGTTGAAAGTGTATTTCACTCGTTGCCTAGCCATCACCTCCCCCCCCCCCCCCCTCCGCCTCTAGCCTGCCTACATTGTAACTTTTTGCTCGCCTAGTATCATCAGCCTGCAGTAACGACAACCCTATAACCTTCACTCTTCCTATACATCCCCATGAGCATCGTATCCCATTCCTTTATCGATCTCGTGCCCTTAGCGTTAGGGGACGTGTCGATCTCATGCCCTTAGCGTTAGGGCACGTGTCGATCTCGTGCCCTTAGCGTTAGGGCACGTGTCGATCTCGTGCCCTTAGCGTTAGGGCACGTGTCGATCTCGTGCCCTTAGCGTTAGGGCACGTGTCAATCTCGTGCCCTTAGGGTTAGGGGACGTGTCGATCTCGTGCCCTTAGCGTTAGGGCACGTGTCGATCTCGTGCCCTTAGGGTTAGGGGACGTGTCGATCTCGTGCCCTTAGCGTTAGGGCACGTGTCGATCTCGTGCCCTTAGGGTTAGGGGACGTGTCGATCTCGTGCCCTTAGCGTTAGGGCATGTGTCGATCTCGTGCCCTTAGCGTTAGAACACGTGTCGATCTCGTGCCCTTTGTCGAACTCATGCCCAGTGATTGCACAGGGCATGAGGAGAAGGCATGTCATAGTGCATCAGTGAACAGAAATGCTGGGAGTTCAACATTTACTCCATCGACGAGAGCGAGGGAGAGCATTGTAAAACAAGTCAGCTTTATGACAACTGCTTCTGACCGTTGGTAGAGGTGGGAGATAGAGGGAATATATATATATTCCCTCTATCTCCTTCTATTCCCTCTATCTCCCTATTCTTACTGTAAGTCCTTACTCTATTCCCTCTATTGGCAGAGATAGGGTGTTGCCACAGGTACTCGTAGGTAGAAATAGGTATAGTGTGTGAGTGAAGGAGAGAGGACAAAATAGTGGGGTAGATATCTCTGTGAATAAAGAGTGTAGGAGAGTAGATGTAGATGAGAGGCAAGAGTGTGGGAGATTAGAAGTAGATAAGAGAAAAGAGACTGGGAGGGGGGGGGGGAACGATGTAGGTGAGTGAAAATGCTGTGAGAGGTAGAGATAGGTGTGAGTGCTTGAGAAGAATATGTAGAAGGTGAGTGAAAAAGAGACTGTGGGGGTTTGAAGAGATATTTGATAAAAAAGAATGTTTGAATATAGATGATAAAGTTAAATTAGATGAAAGCAGTAAGTATGAGTGTGTTACAATAGACAAGTCAACAACAGAACTATAAATGTTGGTAAATTGGCAGAGATAGGTGATTCAGCCGATAGGAATATTTAAAGGTAGTGACAGAAGGAAAGGAGTAACAGAGTAACTGAAACAGTATCAGGCTTATATGGAGTCCTCACGTCATTACACTGTCACAGTTATCCTGAAACTCTCACTCTGTAACAGTCCAACCACTTGGGCTGGACGGTAGAGCAACGATCTCGCTTCATGCAGGTCGGCGTTCAATGCCCCGACCGTCCAAGTGGTTGGGCAGCATTCCTTTTCCCCCGTCCCATCCCAAATCCTTATCCTGATCACTTCCAAGTGCTATATGGTCGTAATGGATTGGCGTATTTACCTAATAGTTCCTTCACTCTGTAATTACTCGAGCCAGACCTGCACCTGTGATGATAGCATAGCATAGCCAAAAAAAAGATTTACACGTAAAGGCGGCAAATAAGACAAATCAAACATTCGTTCCTAAAATTTATTTAGTTGACAGAAACTAAGAAAACTTATTTTATAATATTTGAAAAGTTTCATGTAAAAGTATATATAATTGTATTAAATTTCTACATTACCACATATATAAATCCTATAATAATTTTACTTTGAATATTATATGTAAGAGGGATCAACATCCTTTTATAGTTGCTTTAGCCATAGTAGGGCTTGGGTGTGGTGTGCTGGGCCTGACCCTCGTAGGTCACCTGGGCCACGTAGCCGGAGTCACCATTGACATTGTAGGCCACCTTCTCCAGACGACCGTCGGGAAGCCTTACATAGTAGGAGCCCTGGGTGTTGGGACCATCACGGGTTTCGTCTTGGCCGAAGTCGTTTCCTGAAGCGTCGTCCTTCACTTTCCAACTGAAGGAGTATTGAGCAGGAGCCTGCAATAATAACAATAACATCAGTATACATCACGTGTCTCAGGCTCTTTTTGTCATTTATGAAAATGTTATGTTGGTTTTGGTCACTTGCTCTGACAATGTCCACAGAGACATGTGGACAGCCTTACACAATGTTATACTCACCTCAGTGGTATGGACGCCGTACTTGGGGCCGTGTGTTGGTGGACGGTATGTTGGATGTGAAGGGTAGTGTGGATTGGTTGGAGGTGTGGTGTATGGATGATAAGTTGGATGTGTGGTGTATGGATGATAAGTTGGATGTGTGGTGTATGGACGATAAGTTGGAGGTGTTGTGTATGGACGATAAGTTGAGGGTGTGGTGTATGGTCGATAAGTTGGATGTGTGGTGTATGGACGATAAGTTGGAGGTGTGGTGTATGGACGATAAGTTGAGGGTGTGGTGTATGGTCGATAAGTTGGATGTGTGGTGTATGGACGATAAGTTGAGGGTGTGGTGTAAGGGTGGTATGTGGGACTATGTGTGGGCGGGTGGTATGTTGGGGTTGGGTGATGGTACTGAGGGCTGGGTGATGGGTAATGGTAGGAGGGAGGAGGCTCTGGGCTGGCCAAAGCCACCACCACAACAGCCGCCAGCAACACAACCTGTCAGAAAGTTATAATATTGTCAAAAACAATTCAAATATGTTATTCACAAATATATCTTTTGTTTTAACAAACCCCAAAATATATATTACATACAAAAATTATTTCATTTATTGTATTTTCTAGTGAGTTCAGTGTACATCCATCAAATAAAGATCAAGTTGACTATTTGTTAATATAATAAATTATTAATTTATAATTTTAAGAAATATGTTAAGAGTTAAAACTAGTAAATTGGAACCTTCGTGTTTTCTCCAAACAATATATTGAACTTGTACCCAAGATTGACCTTGTCATGCATCAGTTATTCAATGTATGTGATGTAACTATAACTTGAACTTGTAAAAGCATCTTAATCACCTTCAGTGGTTAAGAGCCTAATAACACACTAGTTTCTACGGCAATTATTTTACCGTTTCAAAGTAGGAGAAACATATAGGTATATGTATATAAATTTATATGTATGTGTGTATACAGGTATGTGTAAGCTGGTAAGAATTGCATTTCACCTTTGTAAATGACATTAATAACGTTATGTAAAAATATAACTCAAACTCTATTTATGTAGGACAGACGTAAATCTGTGTATCATGCATTACAATCACCTTCTGTGGATGACTACAATCACCTTGTTCAATAAATCACTGAACTATATGTAACCTTTATAACATACTATAACATATAACTATATAACAGACATCTAACCCTGTCCATGGAGGACAGAAGAAAGTGTATATATAGGCATGTTAGAGTTGTAAATGTATGGCCAGATCTGTGGTAGGAAAAATAAATATGTTTCCATGACTTGATTCCACAATAATACCTTGGAAACAGTTCGCCGTGTTAATCTCTCCTTGGGATGGCACTTAAGTGACACACAAACTCTAAAACTCTCTCTCTCCTTTTCTTATAATATTACGTAAGAGCTCCACTCGCATTTTAACGTGAAATAATATAGTAATTTTCAGAATTATGGCTATAGTTGAGTTATGAATCACTTATTATTATTATTAACATCTTTATTGACAAAATTAATTATAATTTTGCCTAATCTGAGGATTTTGATAGTCTTATTAAAGTGAGGATAATGCTAGTATCACTGCAGTCAATCTCATGCTCTAGTGCATAAGCTGGTTGGCTCTTATGACTCTAAATATAAATACAAAAAACGCAACAAAATTGTAATAAGCTTGTTTACCTCATCTTAATGGTCGACTTGACCTTAACTTAGCCAGCAGCTTCGTCTTGTACTCACTCACCCCTTCTTCTCCATACTAAACAATGTTACTTCTCCAGATAAATAAGTCTTCACTTCCTTGATCAAGTAATCTTCATTTCCACCCAGATTGGAATTAGGTACACTAACAAAGCACATTGAAATCACAAGAACATGATGAGTCTGTGATGACATATTGATCCCATATGATAGAATCAATCTCGCGTTCCACATATTTATACACTATAGCAAAACTTGAATTGAGTCTTCAAAGACGTTCGTCGAGTGGCCAGGCGTCCCTTGGTATCCAGGCACGTCCTCACCAATCCCTCACAGATCTTGGGTAAACTAGACCCGTCCTAGCTAGTCCTTCGTATTCACTATTCTCAGGATTTTTGTGAATTCCTCACACGATACCGGCAGCATCGCTCCTCTCAATGATCTCGCTCATTCCCGTATATGCATCGATATCACCACACCCAATGATCTGATGCATCCCTTTATATGATATTATCAACATCACTACACCCAAACTATGATCAAATTAAAATGAATAGCTTATAAAATGGTTATTTAATCTACTTAAAAAACTAAGAATGTATTGTATGTTAATTACTTATTCAGATTTATTAATATAGTTACGATATTCCATTCCATTAACATGAGATTCAACTAGCAACTGGGCATTTTTTATGGACGTTATATTTAGCATTTATTTCATTAACAAAGCCCAAAATTTAATTATTGCACTATATATCTTGGACCATTTTATGTATAAATCTGAGAAAATGGCCCAATTAATTTTCTAACTCAGTATGTTCCTCATTTCTGAATAACGCATAGTAATAACATAACAATTAATATACGAAAATAAATAAAGAATTAGTTTAAAATCACTGCAGGAGATGTTAACCTGTACCTTGAGAACCATTCTTGGTGAAGAAGACGAGTGGAACTGATGCTCTGTGAGTGATGTTACTGTCTTATATACTCCTGAGAGATGCTCTCCTTCCCCTCAGGCAATGACGCTACGGTCTCTCAAGGGAAGGATACGATGTATAAATAATTGCTGTGAGCTTACGTGGAATTTTTCCATTTTGTCATGCTTTAGTGAAGATCAGGAACAAGGACATAAATAAGCTTGACTTTTATATTTTCTAAACTTACAGGGACATAACAGGTGTAAAAAAATAAGAGGTTTAATCCTTATTAGACTGAAGATATGGATTAGCAATTACCGCAGCATATCTGTTTGACAGTATTAGGCAGGTTCCGTTTTTATCTACCTAACGATATGTGATTAGTATTGTTGCATCACAATGACATGTGAGACTCAAGAAGGTCAATGGGTACGTACCAATTGGCCTTTTATGTTTGTTAACCTAAGAAATGTTTTTCACCTTATTGATTTCCTTCCTACCAGTCACCACCACTGACTTGTAATATTTATTCTTCTGAAGATGTGTTAATTGTTACGAAAGCACATAAGGAATTTCCTGACTTATTTTTCCTTTGTGATCACATATTGTCATATATATATGTAAGTGTATGTGTAATTTACGAATAAATTAGCATCATTAATCATGTGATAATATCTGACCACGAAGGAATTGAAACAGGAAATTCCTTAATTATTTTATATTAATCAATACCAGGAGTCAGGGAAGGTCATTCCTTCAGCGTCCCATCACTCCAACCAACCTAACCTAACCACTTACTGGTGTATATATACAGAGAGTTTGCTTAGTCCTGGACTATATCAATCACTAAAAGTAACTTTCTGGTTGGTCAGTAAATTGTTATTGCTGGCTTGTTATCCCTATCGCGATTATTAGACCTTAATCCTAGCAGCAAGCTAAATAAAAAACTACTTCACAGAAAGCTATTTTTCCTGCAATGTAAATATACATTATATGTTTACTTGACTTACGTCAGTCAAGATCTCAACCACAACAACTTTCCCAGGCCAATGTCATATGCGGTATTCTAGATATTAAAAGTTGTTCTAAAACCAAAGCTCAGGTACAGCACCGGTGACGTTCAGGAGATAACACCATTATTGATGTCTTCTCATTGTGACAAGAAATGTACATGTTTATCACTCAGAATGTTCGGTAATATGTTTATTGTCTGTTATGTGTTTATATATGTATGAACACGATGTACTGAACGAGGTGAGAATAGCTTGAGCTACCTCATCCCCCTTGTGAGTGTATTTATACCTCAATAAACTTATTTCAATTTCAATTTCAATTCAAGTTCTCATTGTGACAAAACGAAAAGCAGCCTCGATCAATCACCAACTTTATTCGCCACTTTAAGTGCATAAATAGGATTCGCAATTATGTAGAACATTAAGCGAGAGTCTGACAAGGCAACACAACCACATTAGCTTCAAGCTAACAAATAAAATATAAATGCAGCCATGGCCCTATATCCGACTGTGTACAAAACTACCAGAGAGTCAAACTAGCATTTAACAAAGTAATTGTCAGTACAGTTAATGCCATTTTTTGTTTTATATATATCTAGATTCCATTTTATGTGTTCTGCTATGGTCATATGTGGTGGCGTTCAGAGCGTCAAGTGACGAGAGTATTTTCTAATATGTATAACTTAGTGGTTGGCAGCCTCCACCTGGGTACATGAAACCTTCACTCGTGTACTCTAGCTGGGAGAAACTATTTCCTCCAAGACAATAGTCAACAACTGGCCATTTTCCACAACTAATTCTGCTTTACATCTGATTCTGGTTCACAGCTGTTCCTCACTCACAGCTGATCGTTACTCACACCTGATCTAGGCCAACAGCTGATCCTGGACTATAGTTGATTCTGGTCCACAGCTGATACGGGTCATAGCTGATCCTGGTATACATCCGATTCTAAACAAAGCTGATCTTGGTCTTCAGCTGGTCCTGGACTATAGCTGATCCTGGCCACAGCTGATCATGGTCCATAGCTGACCATACATGAGCAGCTGGTCCTGCCCCAACTGCTCTTGTATGACATGTGGGCTCATTGAGATATAAAATTTCCAAAATATCGCTTACTTGTCGTAGAATCTCAGTTGTTTAAATATCCAGCTTAATAAACAATAAATAATAGTATTGACTTCTATGTTTTCTAAACTTACTGGGACATAACAGGTGTAAAAATAAAGAGGTTTAATCCTTATTAGACTAAAGATAAAGATTAGCAATTACCGCAGCATATCTGTTTGATCATTTTAGGCAGGTTCCGTTAGATGTGATTTACCTCTACCTATTCCTCAGTTAAAGTAGAAATATTGATTTTAATAAAAAATGAAATGAAACGTATTACCGGCATGTGATGTTTCAGCCTCCTCAGGGAGCCGTAGGTGCATTCCAAGCGTTGGGTAGCAGGCAATGCACAATCTTGTAAGGCAAATGGTTTCCCATTGTTCGGGTCAGGGAGGGTCTTGGGCATCCTGAAGCCCCTCTAATTCAGGCCTGACATTCACCAAGAAGCAACCCACAACAATTATCTAACATATACTTATATACTGCTAGGTGAATAGAGGCATCAAGTGAAAGAAAACGTCTCAAATTATTTCTGCCTGCGTGGGAATCATACCCTGGACTAGTCGACAGTCTTGTGGACTGCGCTACAGGGGCGACCAACTGCACCATGATCTAAGGATTAAAAGGCAAAAAGTGATATTGTTGGCCGCTGTTCTGCAATGTTTGACGAACCTGCTGGTCTCGTGAAAGCAACGTCCGAGACATGCAACACACTGTAAATTGTGTTGCATGTTGCATGTTGTGTTAATGTAGGAGTACGCGCACTTTCCAAGATTTCGTTATACCATGTATACTCAAATTACATTATTTCGTCCATCAGAGCTGAACATTATAAATAATCTTGCTATGGGATTATTTTGATATTAACTTTCACTTTCTTGCTATTGAAGTGGAGCAAATAATATCCTTTTCTGATTGAGCTCCATCTGGATGCATTAGAGCAAAATTGTCATGCATGTATGACAATCTGTGTGGACACCTTCCTCTCATTGACACTTTCAATACACCTTACTCAAGATGGTGCTGTGAGTGATGACATTCTTCCCAGAACACTTCCAGACAAGGAGGATGCCATTGTTGTCATCTGGTTAATGCTGAACTTGGTAATATTCACACATCAACATGTGTCATTGTTTCCACATGTTAAGAATAGGAGGGATATAAGGGAGTATTTGATTGGAAGATTGGTTGTCGATGATTAGAATGGGCAGTCAGCTAGCATTATTGAGGCAAACGGGTTAAAATACTTCATGGGTAAATTCGATAAGAATATGATAGAGACGGAGTGAGGATAAAGAGGACCTGCCAAAAATAATTTAAAAAACCCGCTATTATTCATATGATTAGTCAAATGATGATTCATATTCTCTAAATTTCTTCTTCGTTTCTGTTGAAATTTGTTGTTGTTTTTAGATTTAGTTACTTGGAACAAAAGTACCAAGTAGCACAGGCTAAAGTGAGCCCGTAGTGGACTTACCTGGCACAGGAGCGGGGGTGTAACTGTTCTGTTGTAAGCTAAGTAAACCTAATAATCAAGTTTGTTCAAAAGCATGACAAAAAGAACAGATAGTCATCAAAGTTCGCACATATATACATCGTATCCTTCCCTTGGGAGACCGTAACGTCATTGCCTGAGGGGAAGGAGAGCATCTCTCCGGAGTATATAAGACAGTAACATCACTCACAGAGCATCAGTTCCACTCGTCTTCTTCACCAAGAATGGTTCTCAAGGTACAGGTTAACATCTCCTGCAGTGATTTTAAACATATTTTGGATTCATAACACTCAACCAGCTTAAGGACTAGAGTTCTTGACTGACTCCGGTGTTTCATCACTAAATACTAAATTATCAACTTCTGAAATTTTATTTGCAGCAGCATATTAAAATGCGAGTGAAGACCTCTTATGGAAGATCATAAAAGTTGGAGAGACAGGGTTTAAGAGTTGACTTGTGCACGCAATGGAAGCTCAACGCTGCGCATTGTTTCCAAAGCATTAATGTGGCAACAAGCTAATTAATATAGTGTTAGAAGAAAGAAGTGTCATGTCTACCTTTTTAACTCTTAACATGTTGGTTAAAAGACAAGCATCAAATAATCATCTACAAGCACTAAACTCCGTTGGAAATGCAGTGAACGAAATTGTTTTTGTATGCAGTATTTATTTTGATATTTGATGTAATAGAAGATATATGTGATTACAATATTTGTATTATTTTTAACAATATTACAACCACCTGACAGGTTGTATTGCTGGCGGCTGCTGTGGTGGTGGCTTTGGCCAGCCCAGAGCCTCCTCCCTCCTACCATTACCCATCACCCAGCCCTCAGTACCATCACCCAACCCCAACATACCACCCGCCCACACATAGTCCCACATACCACCCTTACACCACACCCTCAACTTATCGTCCATACACCACACATCCAACTTATCGTCCATACACCACACCCACAACTTATCGTCCATACACCACACCCTCAACTTATCGTCCATACACCACACCCTCAACTTATCGTCCATACACTACACCCTCAACTTATCATCCATACACCACACATCCGACTCATCATCCATACACCACACATCCAACTTATCCAAACACCACACCTCCCTCGTATCCACACTACACCACACACACAACTAATCATCCATACACCACACCCTATCCATCTTACACTACACCTCCAACATACCACCCCAGCTACGGCGTCCACACTACTGAGGTGAGTATAACCCACCGCGGGTATAATCCACTGGTCTTTTTACAAGTCATCAAAACAAGCAAGTGATCAATACCAACATTATCATGTGAGACACATGAGCCTGGCTGAGACCGTTCTGATGAGACACATGAGGTATACTGATGTTACTGTTATTATTACAGGCTCCTGCTCGGTACTCCTTCAGCTGGAAAGTGAAGGACGACGCTTCCGGCAACGACTTCGGCCAAGACGAGACCCGTGATGGTCTCAACACCCAGGGCTCCTACTATGTGCTGCTTCCCGACGGTCGTCTGGAGAAGGTGACCTACAATGTCAACGGCGACTCCGGCTACTTGGCTCAGGTGACCTACGAGGCCCAGCACACCACACCCCAGCCCTACTATGGCTAGGTCAACACCCTCACTGAGATTGTGTGGCCATTATATTTATTATTTAAACTAATAATCATGTAGAAATGATTCAAGAAATAATAAATGAATATATAATAATTGTGTATACATTTTCTTGCATTAAGTTTATCGTGCATAATGGTAAACAAAATACCTGTTTACCTGAATACAGGTAAACAATATACAAAATACCTGAATATCCATTAAACATATAAGTGACACTTCGAGACCATCATAATGTGGCTGTCAGATTGAAAACCGTACTGTCAGTCTGTTATATAATTTTTCTCCAGGTGTTCTACCCACTTAGTGTTAATTATTTTTTTATAAATCTCTGACTATTACACTTGTCAATGATACAGGTATATAATTGAAGGGGTCTTCCCTACTGCCACGTTTATAGATTGGAACTATGTTAACCTTTTTTCCACACACATATGCTAGGACTCCTGTACACAGGGACGCCTGAAAATTCAGTTGAAGCGGAATGCTAAGCTCAGGTGAGCATTCTTTAAGAACCCAAGGTGAAACTCCATGTGGGGTAACTGCTTTATTCTTTGCTCCTTGAGAATTTTTTCCATTTCGTCTCTACGGGTGTTGTGTAAGGTATTCTATTCCCGTCGTCATTAATTTACATTGACTGGAGATGAGCGTCAGGAAGTAATTGTTATCATGTTCCTATAGAGTGTCAAGATCTTGAAGTAATTTCTTATTTTCAAGTTATGAACTCGAATGATTAGTAAAGAGACTGTTGTTTTATGAAAGAAATGCCACGTAAATCAGAAACCCTTGAATCGTTTCAACTGGCGTCTTTGGGTCTTTGGGACCTTGCTGGAACTATCTTGAGTCCCTGAGAATGTTTTTTTCTGTATTCCAGGGGGAAACAAATAGGATTAAGGACCTGCTCGAAACGCAATGCGTGCTAATGGCTTTGCAAGAATGTAAGAACTCTTGTATATATAAATATAATAAAAAAATAGCTGTCTTCTAGCTGCTGGGCAACTCCGATCGTCAAAGTGGTTGGGCACCATTACTTCCCCTCGTCTCATCCGAGATCCTTATCCTGACCCCTTCCCAGTGCTATATGGTCATAATGGCTTGGTCCTTTCTTCTAATAGTTCCCTTATATCCTCTCCAGTGATGCATTATAGATCCAATGTAGAAATATATTAAAAATCTTTGCAGCTTTTTTCAAAATCTCCCGTCATACTTTTTCTGTTCCCAAAGACTTTGCTTCAATGAGAATCTCATTGCCATAAAATCATCAGGACCTAAAAACAAGGAAAATTGCAGGTCTATTGGCCAAGCGAGGCAGCTATTATTTATTCTCAACAAAATTCCCTAATACAGATGTCTAACCTCTATTTGAAACTATCTTGCAATCCCGCATCTTTTTGTTATATGTCCAACTCAGTAATCGACGGTCAAGACACAATGGTCAATGGCTAGAGTCAGACGTCCCAAAGTCCTCCTCGTTCTGGCTAGCGACAGGTCCTATTAACATAGATGTATTTGTAACCTCTTTCCTTGCATCATTTACAAAATTTGTGTTAGATTTCTCCATAACTTTAGATAATTCTGTATTTCTATATAATGAAGAATATGTACGTGTATGTGTGTGTGTGTGTGTGTGTGTGTATGTGTGTGTACTCACCTAGTTGTGCTTGCTGGAGTTGAGCTGTGGTTCTTTGGTCCCGCCTCTCAACTGTTATCAACTGGTGTACAGATTCTTGAGCCTGTTGGGCTCTGTCAAATCTACAATTGAAACTCTGTATGGAGTCAGCCTCCACGACATCACTTTCTAATGCATTCCATTTGTTAACTACTCTGACACTGAAATAAATCTTTATAATGTCTCTGTGGCTCATTTGGATAATAAGTTTCCACCTGTGTCCGTTTGTTTGTGTTCCACATATGCTAAATAGTTTGTCTTTGTCCACCCTGTCAATTCCTCTGATAATTTTGTAAGTGGTGATCATGTCTCCTCTTATTCTTCTGTCTTCCAGGGACGTGAGGTTTAGCTCCCTTAGTCTTTCATCGTAGCTCATACCTCTCAGTTCTGGGACTAGTCTGGTGACATACCTCTGAATCTTCCTTCTCTTATTTTGTATTGTGTTAACTAGGAATGGATGGACGCCAGGCTAGAGCTGCATACTCCAGGATTGGTCTGACATAAGTGTTATATAAGGTTCTGAATGATTCCTTACACAAGGAATGTGTGTGCGTGGGTGTATTCGTGTGTGTATGTGTGTGTGTAATAAATTCAGGCAGGGAATTTAATATAAAAATATTGCATAACAATTTATTAATTCTTAAATCATTTCTACACCGTATTTACAATTTATAATATAAATATGGGCCTCAACGTCTAGGTGTGGGGTTTGTCCTAGCCATAGTAGGGCTGGGGTGTGGTGTGCTGGACCTGGCCCTCGTAGGTCACCTGGGCCACGTAGCCGGAGTCGCCGTTGACAGTGTAGGTCACCTTCTCCAGACGACCGTCGGGAAGCAGCACATAGTAGGAGCCCTGGGTGTTGGGACCATCACGGGTCTCGTCTTGGCCGAAGTCGTTGCCGGAAGCGTCGTCCTTCACTTTCCAGCTGAAGGAGTACCGAGCAGGAGCCTGTAATAATAACAATAACATCAGTATACATCACGTGTCTCACCAGAGCAGTCTCAGCCAGGTTCATGTGTCACATATGATAATGTTATGTTATTGATCACTTGCTTGTATACTGACCTCAGTAGAGGGGACGCCGTAGGTTGGAGGTGGACTGTATGAGGGAGGAGCCTGAGGGCGGGCCAAAGCCACCACCACAAGAGCCGCCATCAACACAACCTGTCAGTAGTTTATTGTGTTCATGTACACATATACCAAAGTGGATTTATACGAAGAAAAAATATAAAATTATCTACTTCTAGTTTATATATATTTTGCATTTTACACTAGTTCGAAAGCCTTCATATAATCTTTCAGCTTTTGTATATGTATAATACGTTTATAATGAACTTTTACATATATGCATATTTTACTTCATCTGAAAATCGACTTTTTTTCTTGGATAAGGAAATTATCTGTTCCTATCTTTGTACATAAATGCTGCATCAATACATGAGGTCTTTTTTACAACGGGTTGAATTTTACATAAAATTCTATAAAGAAATATTTCGATTATGCATTCAATTATATACTTATTTGACATTGATAACCGGTAAAATAGGTTCCCCAGGAAAACTAACCAATAGATTTTAAATAACTAATTTGTTCATTCTTTTTTTCAAGACTTTTTATATATAAATTATCTTATACTATTTTCAGTGTAAATTAGGTTTAGTAAATACTCTTGGTCTTATGTATCAAAAACAAACTGAAGTATGTATTTAACAGAGCATATTATATAATATTTACTAATTAAATATTCATTTTGAGAACGAAGTCAATACCCTTAAAACTAGGACATAGACCATCTATCAAGGCCTAACGGGACCATATCCTTGGCCTAACCAAAGGTTTCTAGGTCAATCCTTGGTGAACACCTTGTTTGACCAAATATGTATTTGGTAAGGCTTCGAGAGGTCATGTTGTTTTGTCTGACTTGTTTCAAGGTTTGATTTTCAGACTGAAGTTTACAATTTTCAATGAGTAATAATAATTCATCTTTAGTATATTTAGCCTCAGTTGATATATGTACTATAAATTTGTTGGATGGGTTGAAATTGAACAGTTATTGCCTAATGAGTATAAATGTTCATGTTTCTCATTCTAAAAATAAGGTTTAGATAATAAAATAAATTTACTTATGTATAATAAATAAATGTATTGCCGTGAAATACGTTACCAGAGAGCTTAGTTTAGCACTGTACCTTGAGAGACATTCTTGGTGAGGATGACTTACCGGACTGATGTTCTGTGAGGAATGCCACCTGTTTATATACTGGAGGATGACACCCTGCGGGCCGTGAAGTCACGACCTTCCATGGGACGAGGTACCTGGGCCAAGGGTTTGTGAATGTTTATGTGTGCTTATTCACCTTGTAGTGCTTACTGGGACGACGTCAGGTATTAAGGCCGCCTCTCTGCCGTCACAGGTCAATTCAGTGACTACTCACCCGGATTTCTTGTCATATTTACATATAAAACTCTATATGGAGTTAGGTGTCTAGTTTTCCTGTACCCCTACAGGGTCGATGCAGTATTCTACAATGGAACAACTAGAACCAGCAACTATAGATTGGGCTGTAGAATAAACTCGCTCAATGTACTGATATTCCTCGTTTAGAACATTGTTGCCGTCTGTTTGGTCAATTCCCCTTAAAATCTTGAATGTCGTTTTTTAATCTGCTTTGTTTCTTTTTTTCCTCCAGCATCGTGAGGTCCAGCACCTCTCAGTCTTTTATCGATGCTCAAGAACGAGTCTTTTTTTCTATATAATTATATGGTTTTGTTTCATTGAGGGTTCAGTGCCAATGCAGCATATTCTGTGTCTCACATAGGCTATGTAGTCTAAGTTCCTGAAAGCTTTGCGACCGTAGGAAAGCTTAGTCTAAGTTGCCTATGTTATTCTGCTGACCTGTGGCTCTAGTGTGGGATCTGAAGTTAAGACTATTTCCAAGTCTTTTCTGAAATAGGAAGTTGCTTCTGTTTTTTTATTCTGTAGTGTATTTGGGCTTTTCGCTGTCCTGCTAATATTCACATAATTTTGAATATCTGTGGGTTAATCTTGTTGTATATATTCAGACCTGCTCTGGAGAATAATTTAGTCATGTTATTTTACAATTCATCTTTGTGCTGAGTATTTCTATTAGTTTTGCATCTTAACCAAACGTTGAATTGAATGAACTTACGTCATTTATTTTATTTATTTTATGCATCGTAAGAAACAGAATGGTACTTAGTTTTGACTCTAGTGGTACTTCATTTATTTCCTCTCTCTACACTGATGTTTTCCTTCGGTCCTTTGCACTCTTCTCGAGTGATTATTCCTTATTCAACTTGTATTCTTCCTTATACATCAGTCTGCTTCTCTAGTTAGAATAAGTGTCTCTTGTGAAGGTTAATAATCTTTATAACAAATACAATGGTCTCAA